ATAAATATAAATTTGTTTACAAAAACTTCTAACTGATAAACATTGAAAGCACCATAATTAAGCCATAACATAATTTACTATGACCTTGAATTTACTATACCCAAAAAGTTCTATAAGCAGACACCAGGTCCCAAAAATTGCATTATATCTTAAGTGCTCTAGTACTGACATGGTAGCATCCTATCAAACACAGCTATAGATATCATTCATCATCATCTTCATCTGATCGAACATGGAGTGGGCTGGAAGGGGAATAACTTCCTTCATTTGCTACTTCTTCATATAGCTTGATTGGTGTGTTCTCTCCATCATTAGCTTTCAGTTTGCTCTTAGATATAGGAGTAAAATTCTTTCCTTCCATTTCATTATCTCCAATTCCTGTTCCTGTGCTCATAGGTTTTACCCTTTCCAATTCAAAAGATTCATCCTTATTCTCCATCCCATCAGGCTTTGACAATAAAGACTCATTCGTACATTTCCTCCGCTTGTAAGTATGCTTAAGCGGTGTTGCAGAATTTTGGACAACTTTCCCAGCATCTTGCCTCACAGCTATTTCATTTTCTTCACTCACCATTTCAGATTGTTCATCTGTTCCAGTAGACTCCTCTTCACTAAACCTTTCAAAATTCTCTTCTTCAGTTTTACGTTGCAAGGATTCTATCATACCCATCAACTCACTGTTAACCTGCGGGTTTCTGAGAAAGTCAGAAATGTCAAATGAGCACACAGGCACAGGGCATTTCATAACATTCTTTTGTGCTCTTAGGGTCCTTCTGCCAGCACAAGTCCTCTCTTTAACAAAAGTCTGACCAGAAAATGCACCCTCCAAACAAGGCTTGCAGAAATTGTGACCACAGTCAGTTGTTAGAGGAAGATTCAGAACATTCCTACATATTGAACAGCTGAACTCTGCACCATTAAGAAAAATATGAGGTTAAAATATTACTTTTACTTTTATGATCTGTACAGGTAGAGTAAATTTATAGTTGAGAAAATGACTTCAGAAAATTGACAAACTTCTAAAATTTCTATAGTTCTTGCATGTGATATCCATGTAGTGTCCACAACATAAATCCTATCATCCATATTACTAAAAATATTCAGTGTAGGGCATGATCTTCTCTTATATGTAAAAATCATATCTATTTGATTTCCCATACATCCAGCAAATAAATAAAAAAGGAGATGACTGTCCTATAAAAAATACTTATCTAAGTTTATTTCTTCACAAGAGCACAATATTTCTTGAAAGATGTCTGGTGTCTTTATGGCACAATGGAATGGTCATCATTAACACATTGCTAATAACTACTTGATGGTTGCAAGATTTAAATGGCAATATAAGCCTGTGGAGATTGATGCATTGTATATAAGAAAATACCTTTCAGGAGTCTTTCTCGTACAGACAGGTTCTGTGCTTTGCTTATTGCTTTTCTAGCTCTCTTCCTTTCCTCTGGGTTTCCTGTATCCACTGATTTTCTACTAAGAGGAGGTGGCTTTTTCCATTTCCAGCAACAATCTTTCTCCTAAAAAAATTGAGGTATTAAAGTAAGAAGATGTTGTGATGGGATCCACAATACAGAAAGATCAGATATCCAAAAAAGGAAAAACAAAATTTGCAGTAAACCCAACTCCATGTCATGTTTAGTGATAAATTAATATCTGCTCTTAAGACAACTACTAATCCTTCTATTAAAACATAGTTGCCTAGAGAAGAATCTCCAGGAAGTACAGCTACATTTACCGAAGGAATTCCAGTTAGAAATAGAAGGGAAAAAAAGTTGGCTCACATCATAATCCCAAGACGGGCCTTCCTTCCTTTCAGTAACATCAGTTGCTCCTTTGAGCTCTTTAATAGCAGGCAAAGGTCTAGGTTGGTCCCCATGTTCATCACTGCAGTTCAAGTTTTCACAGATATGTGATGACAAATGAAAATCTTACTGTGCTATAGATCACTTCAATATGATATAATTGCAACCACGTAAAAAACTGAAGCCATGTGTGGATAAAGAGAGAAAAGCGGGGAAACTAACCTTGTCCACGGAGCAGGTTCATTGTCGCATCGAACGAACAGATATCTGCAAACCTTAAAACCCTGCAATAAGCAATGCGTTTGAACATCTTATCAGCAGTCACGCATACAAGTGAAAACATAAAATAACAATACCACTTAAAAGAAATCTCTAACCTGAATTCCAGCTTTACGCCAACATTTTTCTATTCTATATACACCATCATATCGCACTCCCTTTTCAGGAGCATAGGAAGATCCTTTTTCTTTGTGCGACCTTTCCAATTAAAAAAAAAGCTGATGTGAGTATTATTATGACCAATATCTTATGGATAAAAAGGTTGTATCTATGGCTAACATGCAACTAACGTAGAAGGCAGAATACTAGAATAGGTATCTGAAGATTCTGAACACTGAACCATCTACAAAGATTGCTCAAAGACTTTGTTATAAAACTCCTACCTGACAACTCGAACAGGGTAGCCTTTCTTGCAGCTCACTCGCAGTGCCTCGTTCATCTTGTCAAACTTTTGGTCAAAAGACTGGGACTTGTTAGTCCGTTTGTTCCCACTTAGGTCTCTTCCACCACTGCATACCATGCAAAACAAAAATAATAACAGACACCTATAAATATCACATAATGGTTTAAATAGGAAGCACAGAATCAGATGCATTTTTGGGAGATTCCTTACGTCAAAATAAACTCAATGAACAGTTGGCAGTGATAAAATAACTAATGACTCCCTCAGACATCAACAAAATCAGCCCAAATAGCCAGATGATAAAGTTATTTCGATTATATGTTAAGAGATCATATAATGTTCAATGAAAACAGACACAACATTATATTTCCAAATATTGCATGTTAATAATCAAGCCTTTCCCATTTCAGTAAGCCTATTGCCAAAAACGAACAGCATATGCTGAATATCCCTAACTTAAAAAAATAGTCAGACCAAGAGAAAGTTTCAGTCTATACCTTCCTGTGTATAGAAACCATTCACCGTGATCCTCATCATCCTCGTAACCTCCAGAAAGTGCCACTGACTGTGCTCCATACTCAGATTGCCCAGCAATCCCAGCAACATGGGGAAGATGTGCCCCCCACTGCCTACACTCCATTCTATCTTCCCAACATTCTCCAACCAAAACACCCTGCTTTCTGTCAGGATCATTTTCAGCAAGGATTGGTCCAAAATGATCAGGGGGGACTGTGACAAAGATTTTGCCACTACAAGCATTAGCTTTTCCGGCTTTTTTTGCCCGCTCAGTTGTGAATGCCTTGTCTGGTCGGTGTTGGTTGTGTACAAAATGATACACTTTCTGTTGGGTCCCTGAGGTGATGGATTTTGACATCTTAGCCATACGAATGGCAGCAACAAGAGATAAGTTTATACGAGGTTGGCTTGCCATCTTAGTAGGGATAGTGGCTCTACACTTTGCACAGGAACGCTTTCCTTTACTAATCCATTTCTCAAAGCATTTGAGGCAGAAAGTGTGCCGACATGGAGTCTGGAAGCAAGTGAAAAAAGAGTTTCCATCAACAATAATCAGAAAAATCACCAGCTATCAAATATCTCCACTCAAAACATCAAAAGAAAAGGCAATCTTCTACACTTGCTATTATGGCATGACTTCCTTTTATATAAGCCACAAGCCACTAAAATGTAAATAACCAATACAATATTGCAACAGCAATTTCAAATTCATGTTTCAGTCT